CCCGCGCGCGGGGCTGGCGCTGCCCGGGGAAGCCGTCGGGCGCCCAAATGGCCCTTGTGAGAGGGGAGGGCCCCCGGCCTGCGGTGCCGAACAGGCCCGGGAAACGGGGAAATGCAGAAATGAACACTCGAAAGGGGCTGTTTTTTCCCCCCGTTGCCTAATAGCTGAAGTAAATGGTTAAATTTCAAGCGTGGGGAGGTTGCCAGTTGGATTGCAGAAGATCGTGTTCCTGTTCAATAGAGACTTTGTACAATAAATGAGTTAAGAGTCAGTGTGCGCCTAACAAGGGCCCCCATGGCATTGAGATTTTGGTCCTGACGGGGAGCTGCAGGAGCTGTTCCAAGGCTTTGGGCCCCTGTGGCTCGTGCTGCATGTGCTGGAGTTAGAGCCTCCAAACCGGTGCGAGGAGCAGCCGCGTGCCCTGGCGCCCTCCATGTGCGCAGGGATCCGCAGCCTGGTCCAGCGCGCTCCGTGTGCTTCCCAGAGCATCTGTACCCTGGGCACCGAGTATCCAAACAACACTGACATGCGTCAGCGTCAATGGCATTACTGGTGCTTTGACTTTATAAATTAGGCTGTGGCACTTGTCAGCCACGGGAAGGAAAGACCGAGCTTCATTTCTGCTCTTCAGTCTATCATTCACTTGTCACTTCTTTTGGAGCAATCTACGTGAGTAATGCTTGGGATCAGCTTCAAGGAGATGACTTGTGCTTTTAGTAAACTCTAGTAAACAATAACAAATTATGTCTGCCCGTAATGTCCACCCTCACATTGTGTGAAATACATATGTTTTGGCACTATAGCTATACCACACACACAAAAATGTAATGGGCTAGGCACTTCATTTTATTTCTTATGCCAAATAAAAATTCTAACAATAAAACAAGAGCTAAGATGATGTCATTGTTCCATATGCAAGCAATAACGAAATGCAGAAAGTAGCTTTGTAGTTTCAATCCTGGTCCTCTTTCATGCATATACATTACAATTTTTAGTTGTTAAGCACTCTTGTTCTTATATAATGTAAGGTGTATTCTTAAGTTTAGAACTGCATGCTACTTCTAGCAATATTTATATAAAACATAAAATAATTTATATTAATATTTTTAAATTATTGTTATTTGAATATTTGAACATTAAAAAAATCTATTAAACCTGTAGTACAGGTACAGTAGGAAGTACCATATAGGAGATATATCTGTCAGAAATAATTGCTGTTTTGATTCATGAAGAGTTGTTGTGTCATCTTTAAATACCTGGAATTTTGCAATGATTTTACTAGAGGCACCGTTATTAATCTACATGATAATACCATTCTGGAGAACTTAGAATAACAAGATCCCTCTCTGTTCTGCCAGTTGCCCAATTATGAACTAACAAACTACTCTCATTTTTAAAACAAACAAAAAAAAGCTAACAAGCAAAAAATGACCCTGCCGCTCTCTCTGAAATCCCCTACTAGATTCTGGAAGCAACAATAAATGTCGTTTGTATCTTAAGATCTCATTCAAGATGTCTGCAAATAGCAAATCAACCTAAGCAGAATCACTAGGATATAACACTTCGAACTAGAAGTTCACCTTGGCAACTAGACTGCGTTACTTGGCAGACTGTGGTGGAAGATATAGAGAGCCTTGTGTCTATCTAGATAAAATAAATTCTCCATGTTAATGTTAAATGTTAATGTTAGAACAGTGTGCATCCTGGTATAGTGTTAATCTAAAGTTTGACAGCAGGACAAGTTTCCCCTAAATTTTACCATTTAAACGAGGCAGTGAACAGTATTTCTTTAACACAGTCTAGGAACTACTCGTGTTCAGTTTGCACCTTGATTTCCATCTAATGCTCTGTTACTTCACCTAAGCAAAGACAAGCTAAGAAGGCTTATTTGCTTTCTCAAAATCTTCTTTTCATTCTCTTACGGTGATGTTCCAGTCATATCTTCTGGTCATTCTTAGATTTATTTTCAAGTTCTCCCTTGTATTTTACTGAAATGAAGTTATATCCATTTTGCATGGAGGAAGTCAGGGGGCAGCACAGCTAGATGATCCATAAGGATTTGAGTTTTGATTTAACTCTCACTGTCTAGAGATGAAGAGGCATAGCCGAGCTCTAGAAAACATAGACATTTACAGATAAAAGGTCTCATAAGCTGGTATGAAAGGAAAGGGATCTTCCAGTCGTGACATAGTCCCAAATAGCCCCAGACTGTTCTAACTCCTTTCGTAAATGGGAAGATTTATAAATGCAACTGAACTGTGCAAGGCTCTAAAGCCAGTGAAATAAAAGCAATCTGCTGCAGTATTAATGAACTCCTGCAGGATAACTTCATTATCAAGGAAGAGTGCCACCATAGTCTCCTGAGTTTGCTTTGAAAATCTCTTGCCCAAATTCTGAGAAGTTGAATATTTCTTTAATAAACTATGGGTTGTTACTGTGCCAGGTGCTACAGTCATTATGTGAAACACACAGAAAAATTCTAATTAATCTCAGTAGATCCTGCAGAACTTGACCCATATGTTTTTGGTACAAGCACCATTTCAGCAGGCTTTTCTTTAATCTAGCTAATATTTTTAAGAGTGCAAAGGGATATAAGGCATAGTAAAAATCCCTTAATAATCCATCCATGAAAGAATATGCCAAAAATAAAAGAAAAACATTAGGAAAAAGTGCTTGAGCCAGAGAATTCAAAATATGATTCTCTCGGTATTCTAGCTTCTTGCAAAATCCTCAGTGGAAGCAAAACACTCTGTTCAGCATTTAAGTAATAAAAAGTGCATTGAAAAGCCTAAGTAAGTCAAAAAGAAACTACAGGCATTTTGAATACTACTTTTTCTAAATAAATGAGAAATGCCCAAATGTACTTAAAACATTCATTCTTTATTCACTGGAGAAGAATTTGGATACTTATGAAGGTAACTGTGGTGCATGGACCTCTGGTTGCTTTATCTCCACAATACTTGAGTAAAATGAACCTTACAAATGGGAATACAAGGTCCAGGATGGGTTTAGTCAGTTGTCCATAGACGCCCAGGACCTGTGCAGCTCAGCCAGAAATGAAACCAGAAACTGAAATTTAAATATCAAAGTCTTCATTCAATAGCTCATCCATCAAGCTACCGCACAACAGATGTCCTAGCAAGATGGGAGAATCCAGAGCATGTAAATCAGCAGGCACAGAATAATCTTATGTATATAAACCAATTTATTAATAAATGAATTCATAAATACTTACATATTACAATACATTAATGCAGAAATAATAATTTTGCATATAAATGAATTCACTTATAAAATAACAGACTTTGGCTGTGTTTTGCAGCAGCAGCCATTTCATCATAATACCCAGGTAATATCAAAAAATAATGCATTCACGCAAGACGGAGTTTTGTGGCAAGCAGAACTAACACCAGCTCTTAATGAGGACAGATGACCCATCTTGATTTTAGGGCTCCTGGAGTATCTTTCACAGCTGCTGTGCTTATTAATTTGGTGCATTGTCTAGACATAAAGGTCTTAGTCCAGGCTAGAGGTCCTGAAACTGCTGCTTGAGATCAGATTTTTCCTTGTACAAAGAAGCAATATGCACATGCGTGCATGCATGTCTGCATGTTTAGGTTTGTGAGTGTGTGTTGAAACAAGAAACCTGGGTTAGGTCCACCTGCCTTGGATTTTTGAATCACTGCTGATGGATTCAAAATTAAATCTGCAGAATAGTCAGGCTTAATTTCTCATATTTTGTCACTTTCCTATTAGGGGCAGGCTAGCCACTTCTAAGTGGAGCAGGTCTTAGCACATCCACATCGCTTACTGCCAGCTACTTCTCTCTTCTCTACAGCCTCTGTTGCTTTGCTCTGTGGCTTCGCAGGTAATCTCCACAAAAAAAGCAGATACAATTTAGCTCACCAAAATATTGTGAAACTATCATCAGGGGTGTTTTTACGCAACATTTTCTCTCGCTGCATGAGAAAATCAATACAGCCCCAGCAGGAAAGGTGAAACATGCAGGGTTCCTGAATGCCTCTTCCGAGCTTGCTGTGTGTTGTAGAAGAGGCAGAGCCTCATACAGGCAGGGAATAGACCCCTGCCAGAGCACAACATTTTTAAAAAGGATCCAATATTCAGATTTCACTAACCCCAGGAGTACAAGAGTGTAGATGGCAATGCAGGTATTCAGTACTTCTTAGAAATGAATCAATTCTGCACAGGAAGCTGAAAGCAAATGAGAAAACAGTGATTCTTGAATAATATACAAACTTCTCAAGCCACCTTCCTCTGCACAACATGAAGAACTTGTGAACACTGCTTAGCCCATGTTTTGTCTTACAGTATCATCTTTGGGATTCTGTGGTACACAGCTTCTTTGAAGCGTTGGGTAACTTGTTTCATTCCTTTCTGTCTGGATCATAGTTAAAAGTTAACATTTTGTGTTCCCTTTCCCGCTTCCTGCATGCAAAAAAAAAGCCCCAACACATATCTTTACAGCGCAATACAAAAGAAAGATTCTGTTGAGGAAGACACATATAGTAGCTAACTGTAAAGAATTTGCCTCTGCTTAATATTGGTTTAATACCCAATTGTAGCAGGGATTTTCAACCACTTCCACCTGTAATTCCAGAACCATTCATTTTCTTTCTGTAACCTATCACATTTCTCTATTAATGTGTATCCTGGTGCTGTTCAGCTTGTTCATCAATGACTTGGATGAGGGCACAGAGGGCACCCTGAGCAAGTTTGCAGATGACACCAAACTGGGTGGAGTGGCCGACACTACCAAGGGCTGTGCTGCCGTTCAGAGGGACCTAGAGAGGATGGAGAGTTGGGCAGAGAGGAACCTCGGGA